TTAACTCTTTTCTCCTCTCTATTCTATTCTATTCTATTCTATTCTATTCTATTCTATTCTATTCTATTCTATTCTATTCTATTCTATTCTATTCTATTCTATTCTATTCTATTCTATTCTATTCTATTCTATTCTATTCTATTCTATTCTATTCTATTCTATTCTATTCTATTCTATTATCTATTCTATTCTAATTCTATTCTATTCTATTCTAATAGGGATAGCCCTGGAAATAACCTTGAATTAGATAGAAAGAACCACCCTGACCATTGCCTGAACTCTCCCTACGCTCCTACTATAGCTATATTTGGCTTTTCGAGGGAAGTGGAAAATCCAATATCTAGTAGTTCAGCTCCGTCTCACTCAGGTCAGGGGTACGGAAACCATAGATTAGAAAAGGTAGGACGTAGGCATGCCTCTACAAGCCATAGATCGAGCCAAAGTGTGTAAGATCGGATCAACCCATTGAAGAAGATCGGATCCAGCCAAAGTGTGTCAACCATTCGTCTCAGCATTACCTTCTCACCCAGGCATTCAGAGCAAGCAACCGGAAATCTACTAAGAGTAGCAAACCAGTAGCGGTTTCAAGCGGGGATTCTTATGCCGGGTTGTTCAGTAGCTTTCGAAGCCAAAGACAAAGACACAGAGAGTCGAGACATAAAATGAAGAAAGATTCTATTGTGGGGAAGCAACTTCTACTCAAGCACGGGGGAAGACATCATCCGAAGAGCGGGGCGGGAATAAGCAAGGAGCGAAGCGTAAAGCAGAGCCCTTTCTAGGATATCAGGTTTAGCCGTTGAAGGACCTGTTCTAGTGTTGCAAGCTAGAAAAAGTCATCAAGCTAGGTTAAGTCTTTCAAACTCCCTCTCTCCTCCAGTGAGAAAGAAAGTCAAGAGGAGAGACTAGAAGAAAGCTTGGAGTGGAAGAAAGACGGAAGGCGTGGGGAAAGAAAGAAAAGAAGGAAATGGAAGGAGAATGAGAGTTCGATCCGCAAGCTTCAGTTTTCCAGTTCAGAATCCGATGCTGAGAGCAAATGCAATGGTTTAAGGGTTGACGCCGTATCGATTCGATCTAAGGTTCTAATTCGTTGACTGTCCTCTGAAGGCAGGTTGTAAATACAGCTGAAGGGCGAACAAAGACTAGGTTTTAGCTTCGCTAGATCGGATGGTCTTTCAAGCAACTCATCAATCCCCCCACATATCAGGCGTACTTTAGGGAAATAATCAATGTTCCCCCTAAAGATTGCCTGATAATAGGGGATGGATTTTTCACTTCAATCGTGGAAAGAGCTTTCTTTATAGAAGCAAGAGTCATCGATTCCATTCCTGACCTACGACCACCTTATCTACGACAAAGGTTCCGAACCTGATCTACGACCAACCTTGCCCCTATTACTGTAGTTATGCCGCAATCAGTTAATCGATATCTTTCTTAAAAGGTTTCTCTGGGCTAGAGGCTCCCTATATATATCTTCCGTCCAAGGGCAGTTACATCTATCAGATATAGTAAGAAAACCCTTGTTCTCGGTAGCTAATCTTGAATATGAAAGCAGTCTTATATAGTTAGTTAGTCCTGCCTGTAATGTCAGAAGTAAGGCTGCTCTCCTTTCCTCCTATGGTTGGTCGTAGATCATGCAAGAAAAGAAGCTAAGCCTAAACGTCCTTATGCCACTAGAAGAGATACAGGAAGGAATTCTTAAACATACTACAGGAAAGACAGCTATCTTCTCCTAGCTTCCATCCCCTTTCCTTGCTTATCTATCTTGAAGCCTTGGAGAACTGAAAGTGAGGGAAGGAAGTAAATGGGATACCCTAAGAGAGATTTCTTATCAGCTCTTCGCTAGCATCCATATTGGCTTAGTAATAAAAACCTCAGGTTTAGCTTGTTCCCGAACCTCCCGTAGTGCCATCCGAATGCAAATAACAAAGAAGAGCAACCTCATACAGTCCTTATCTGTCCTTGCGTGGTATTACCTTCAGAAAGGAACTACCACGCAAGGACAGATAAGACTGTATGAGGTTGCTCTTCTTTGTTATTTGCATTCGGATGGCACTACGGGAGGTTCGGGAACAAGCTAAACCTGAGGTTTTTATTACTAAGCCAATATGGATGCTAGCGAAGAGCTGATAAGAATCTCTCTTAGGGTTATCCCATTTACTTCCTTCCCTCACTTTCAGTTCTCCAAGGCTTCAAGATAGATAAGCAAGGAAAGGGATGGAAGCTAGGAGAAGATAGCTGTCTTTCCTGTAGTATGTTTAAGAATTCCTTCCTGTATCTCTTCTAGTGGCATAAGGACGTTTAGGCTTAGCTTCTTTTCTTGCATGATCTACGACCAACCATAGGAGGAAAGGAGAGCAGCCTTACTTCTGACATTACAGGCAGGACTAACTAACTATATAAGACTGCTTTCATATTCAAGATTAGCTACCGAGAACAAGGGTTTTTCTTACTATATCTGATAGATGTAACTGCCCTTTGGACGGAAGATATATATAGGGAGCCTCTAGCCCAGAGAACCTTTTAAGAAAGATATCGATTAACTGATTGCGGCATAACTACAGTAATAGGGGCAGGTTGGTCGTAGATCAGGTTCGGAACCTTTGTCGTAGATAAGGTGGTCGTAGGTCAGGAATGGAATCGATGACTCTTGCTTCTATAAAGAAAGCTCTTTCCACGATTGAAGTGAAAAATCCATCCCCTATTATCAGGCAATCTTTAGGGGAACATTGATTATTTCCCCTAAAGTACGCCTGATATGTGGGGGGATTGATGAGTTGCTTGAAAGACCATCCGATCTAGCGAAGCTAAAACCTAGTCTTTGTTCGCCCTTCAGCTGTATTTACAACCTGCCTTCAGAGGACAGTCAACGAATTAGAACCTTAGATCGAATCGATACGGCGTCAACCCTTAAACCATTGCATTTGCTCTCAGCATCGGATTCTGAACTGGAAAACTGAAGCTTGCGGATCGAACTCTCATTCTCCTTCCCCTTCCTTCTTTTCTTTCTTTCCCCACGCCTTCCGTCTTTCTTCCACTCCAAGCTTTCTTCTAGTCTCTCCTCTTGACTTTCTTTCTCACTGGAGGAGAGAGGGAGTTTGAAAGACTTAACCTAGCTTGATGACTTTTTCTAGCTTGCAACACTAGAACAGGTCCTTCAACGGCTAAACCTGATATCCTAGAAAGGGCTCTGCTTTACGCTTCGCTCCTTGCTTATCCCCGCCCCGCTCTTCGGATGATGTCTTCCCCCGTGCTTGAGTAGAAGTTGCTTCCCCACAATAGAATCTTTCTTCATTTTATGTCTCGACTCTCTGTCTTTGTCTTTGGCTTCGAAAGCTACTGAACAACCCGGCATAAGAATCCCCGCTTGAAACCGCTACTGGTTTGCTACTCTTTAGTAGATTTCCGGTTGCTTGCTCTGAATGCCTGGGTGAGAAGGTAATGCTGAGACGAATGGTTGACACACTTTGGCTGGATCCGATCTTCTTCAATGGGTTGATCCGATCTTACACACTTTGGCTCGATCTATGGCTTGTAGAGGCATGCCTACGTCCTACCTTTTCTAATCTATGGTTTCCGTACCCCTGACCTGAGTGAGACGGAGCTGAACTACTAGATATTGGATTTTCCACTTCCCTCGAAAAGCCATTATAGCTATAGTAGGAGCGTAGGAGAGTTCAGGCAATGGTCAGGGTGGTTCTTTCTATCTAATTCAAGGTTATTTCCAGGGCTATCCTTATAGAATAGAATAGAATAGAATAGAATAGAATAGAATAGAATAGAATAGAATAGAATAGAAAGAATAGAATAGAATAGAATAGAATAGAATAGATAGAATAGAATAGAATAGAATAGAATAGAATAGAATAGAATAGAATAGAATAGAATAGAATAGAATAGAATAGAATAGAATAGAATAGAATAGAATAGAGAGGAGAAAAGAGTTAAGCAGAGAAGCTAAGTAGCTAGGTTTCCTTGTGTCCTAAGCTATGTCCTCTGACTCTATATGCTGTGCCTTGAGGGTAGCCAAGGCTATGTGAGAAGAGAGCAATCAAACTACTGCTAGAAAGCCCAAGCTTTTGAGAACTTCTTTTCATCCTGTACTGAGACCCTATTATTAGGGCCACTAGTTCCCGATGTTCAACTACTCTGTTTTTCTTTTCTCGGTCAATCAAGAGGAGTTCCCAGAGTGAAGAATTAGGAGGAAAATCCAACCTGGTCATAGGCGAGTTAGGAGCTCTAGTTGATAGGTCTTTCGATGCGGGATGTGAGGTATAGGGCAAAGGGAGAAAGAGCTGCTTGTGCGTTGGTCTTTCTTGCGTCTGGCGGGTCAGAATCTTATTTAGTTGGTCTTCCCTCCGGGTGAGAGCACTTTACCACAGAGCTAGAGCAAAGGGGAATGAAGCCAGGCAAGCGAAGGGAAAGAAGCGTCTATCCTCTGATGATATGGCAAGTCTAGTTCCCGCTTGAGTTTCCGCTGCTGGGAGTTTCAGTTACCTAGTTATAGTTTAGTGTGGTTTTCTTTTCCTATTGGTGCTAAGTCAGGGCAGCTAAACGTAAAGCAGAGGAGCTTCTAACAAGGGATGGGCTACTAGGCACCAGCTTGCAGAGAGTGACTTACTCAGCAGTACTAGAAGCAAGCAACTCCTCAAGGAAGAGAATCGAAGTCTTTTTCGCCGTCATTTTCAATGCAAAAGCAAGATCAAGTGATTAGGGGAAATAATAACCACCATCTCTCCTCTCTTCTATAGAACCATAGACAGGCAAGCGCTTCGCTCTCTCTCATCATCAGCCAAGCACCTTCCCCGATGTTCTGAAACATGAAGTTCATGCTGTCAAGGCAAGATAGATTAGATGCCCACATCTCTCTAAGAAGAGATCCATTTGACAGGCTTTCAGGTCCAATCACCCGAGTGGTAGCAAGAACTACGATTTTTAACTAATGAACATGGCTTTTGAGCCCACTTCCGATCAGAGTCTTCCTTAGATAAATAATTGTGCTAGCTAGCCTTAGAGCTTCCTTGACCCTACTGAACACCTACTAAAAGCATTTGCTTTCTCTGACCCTAGGAAGGAGACCAAAACCTCTTGGTTGACCTGATCTACGACCAACCTCAACTTCTAACCTTGGCTATTGAGGAAATAGATTCTATCCGACGGCCAAGTTTTGACGTTTTTTTGGTCTGTTCTTGGCATTGAAGGTCCCATCCTTACTACCCCCTTTCACTTCGATTTATTATTAGTCAACTTGCATTGGCAGAAGGAAGCGATCAAGAAGACTGGCTTTCAAGCAAATCCTTTGAACTGCAGTCCGAAGACCCTATCCGCCTGCTACAGATGCTTGCTATGCGCTGGCCTACCCTTTCCTTTTTGATTAGTTTGAGACGGATTGCTCCTTTCTTCTAGCCTCACCTCCCCTATAGCTTACCGTTAACTGCTACTGCTGCTCCCGTTGATGCTATTAAGAGATAACTGGCCCTTTGAGTTGTAATTTAACAAAACAATTGGATTCCTTCTCAGATCCAGATATAAAGATATCTGGCAACCTTCGCCTTCCTTTCACTTGCAGATACTTCCTTGCGAATAAAATAAGGCTTGTTCATGCTAGAGTGCTACTGCTAGAGGGAAGGCTGACTCTGCTAGGAAGGCAGCATCTAATATTAGATTCAAGCGAGGAATCCTTCAAATGAAATAAAGTAAGATGGCCAACTAATACACTTACAAAAGTCGGGTAACGGCATTGGTAAAAACAACTCCGAGGATAATGGAGTTGCCGAAGCCTCGGGCAATCCTGAAACAGGAAGGGAAAAGTCCTCCACCGGAGCAGGGCTGGATACCGAAACAGAAGAACCGGCTATAGGCAGAATCATGCTCAGAGGAGCAATGCTTAAAGGACTTAAGGGTTCAGAAGACCCTGGGCTAGCCGGAGCCTCGTCCGCAGTACCACTTGTATCGGGTTCCGACACAAGGGTTTACATTTCTGTCGAAACAAAGAGACAAGTGTGAATCCTAAATCACGAAATACCAGCAAAGACGTGATTATATATTCACCTTCCGAAAAGGATGGGAAGAGGTTTGGTGCTACTTTGATTGCTGCTTCTACCAGAGCCGGGACTAAAGCCTCTGTTACAGCAACTTCAGTCTCCAAAGCCCCGGATAGGAAAGCGAAGCCTCCCCAGAGCCCGGCAAATCTCCTACAAAATTAACAGGAGTCAGCAAAATATAAGTATATGCTACAATAAAACCTAATATGTAAACTGTTAAGAAGGAAGGCAGTTACCAGATGGCGAGGGTTCGAAGTAAGAATCTGACGAAGAAGAGGCAGGAAAACCCGGGGGTGCATTCTCTCCCAGAAAGATGGGAGATTCTTGCTCCTCAAGGAATAGAACCCTCATCACTTCCCAATCTTCTATGAAATGGTCGCCTAATGAACAGTACCAATCAAAGGCGATCCCTTCGAGGGAGAGTGGAAATTGCCTAAGGCATAATGCAGAATTGCCTGCCGTAGGTCCACATTGTCGGAGGAACCTTCTTATGTGTTCCCGCGGATCACCAAAGCCTCTGTATTGGACGAACCTTGGTAGTTGATACCCCTCAGGGAACGGACTGTCGTATACCTCTGGAGGGTGTATGTGCACCGGTCTGAAACCGCCCATTTCTCTTTGGTCAAGGGCCAATTCCAATATCTGATCGGACTCCCCTTCGAAAAGGTCATAGTCTTCGACAGTTTCATTTTCGTATTCCTCCCACTCTCGCATGTCAATATGTATTGCCCCGGATGCGTAGAAGGCTCGAAAAAACTTGTTAGCGAGCACGTCCCAGCTTGATATGGATCGGGAAGGGAGATTGAAATACCAATCCAATGCATCTTCCCTGAGGGATAATGGGAACTGCCTCAACAACAAGGATTGGCTTCGGATGGTGGTGCCGCATCGGGCCAGGAAGAGTACCAGATGTCTTCTTGGACATCCCACCACGCCTGGGTATCTATCAAAGTGCGGAATTGAATATCCCCGGGGGAATGGAACTCTGTCGACCCAAGCCGGATACGGGTGTCTCAGCAGATTCTTTTCCGGGACAAAAAGATCTGCTGGCACATTTATTCCTCTTAGTGCGATGGTGACCTGGGCATGCTGGTTATCGATTCTGGCCGCCCGAATCATGGCCTTTTCGCTGTCTAGGGGGCTTTGCGTCACATTTGCCCGAGCTGACTCGAAGTCGATATTTACTGTGATGGTATTGCATGACAGTATTTCAGGCTCTTCCTCGGAGTCAGCCTGCTTGAACCACTCCTTCGGGAGATACTCAGAGAACGTGATGGGTTGAGGAATTTGTTGTTCCCTCAAGGCTGGCTTTCAATCTGGAAAGTAAGAATATCGATCTCGTCCTGGAGCTGCTCATGCTTTATATAGAGATAGAGATGCTGATAGCTTTGCAATGAGATCCGCTACCTTAGCTGTCAACAAGCTTACTGGCATCATAACCTGACTTTGGAACTGTGGGTAGAGCTTAAACAGGCTATTATTTATTCTCAAGATGGAAGGAATGCTAGGCGGAGTACTTTCCCCTTTGTTCCTACCTTTCCTGCTGCTGCCTTCACTGCTCAAACTCCTTATTCTGGCTTTCTAACCGGCTCCGGAACGTCGAATAGGAAAAGGGAGAGATGCTAACTAGCGAGATAGTGGCTAAGGAGATAGAACTTTATATTAAACAACAAGATCAACTAACTCGCTACGCTCGATCTATACTCCCCGAAAGGTTACTCTCCTTTCTATCCTTCCTAAGCTCGTCCCCTAGCTACAATCCACAAGAACAAAGGAAAGATACGCTTGTTGCCTTTGTGCTCATTTGGACGGGGCTATACGCCTTGATTTTGGCTGACTCGCAGAGCCGTCTTTGCACGGGCGAGTGCCATACCCTTCCCTTCTAAGGCGCATCCCTTTGATTGCTTATCAAAAAGAAAGCCGTTTTTGGCACGTTTAGACACTTGTACTATTCGAGCCGTCTGACCCCCACAACTCGCATTTTGCTTTAGACATGTTGGCCTCTACGGCCCTTTCTTTTCCTCAGACAACTACAGATCTAGAAAGGAGGGAGGGTATACCAGCCAATTAGACCAAGCAGCCAATGTTACAAAAGCAAGGGTTGAAGAAGAGGGGAAGGAAGTGGAAGCAGGAGTCGAGGTAGCATCGGAGGCGAAGGCAGGAGATTGAGTTATATATGAGGAAGTTCTGGTTCGTCCAGTTCCGGATCCATCTGACTAAGTTCCAGCGGGTGCAGATTCACCAGCAGCATTCTCGTAAGCATTCGAGTTAGCGCCCCGCCTATTAGTTTAGTTTAGTTTAGTTTAGTTTAGTTTAGTTTAGTTTAGTTTAGTTTAGTTTAGTTTAGTTTAGTTTAGTTTAGTTTAGTTTAGTTTAGTTTAGTTTAGTTTAGTTTAGTTTAGTTTAGTTTAGTTTAGTTTAGTTTAGTTTAGTTTAGTTTAGTTTAGTTTAGTTTAGTTTAGTTTAGTTTAGTTTAGTTTAGACCTTTCATTCCTAGGTTGAAAAAGCAGACATGCTCTTTCTGTGAGGTCCTTTTTGGTGAGGTCCCCTTAATGTGTCCACGGCTACGGGCCCAGCTAACTAAGGAAGGGGCCCCGCATAAAGAGTTGGGTCCAGCATAGAGAAATAGGCGTTTCGACGTTGCCTTTTGAATCCTTCAGCCGTGCCCGTTCGTGTGAAGCACCTTTCTTTGTCAGTGTTTATCATCCCATCGGAAGGGACCTAAGCTTCTGTGTGCGGTCGTGTGTTCTTGGCCGACATCGGAATGTTTATTTAGTTGTTACTCGAACTTATGTTACCATCGTTCTGATGCGTCGTACCCTGTGGGTGTTAGGAAATCAGTCTTTATGACGTTTTTATGCTTGAAGCCGTTGTTTGCCGCATCTAGTAGGGGTCACTTTTGGTCTGAAAGGTATGCTGCTGGCTTGGTGGGTATCGACCGAGGACTTGAAACTTATGAATCGACTGGATCAGCTGGAACTACACAAGGCTATGGCTATGGAACTGAAATGGAAGCTAGAGAATGCTGGATCAACCGGCGATACTTCCTATGCCGAGAGCACCAATAGATAGCCATGAGAACAGGTCTAGTTAATGCCCACCGGCGGTGAGCCAGGAGTAGGAATAGACAATAGGGAGGGGAGGTTCATTTGCTCTTATCCTGTCCAGATAAGAGATTCTAAGGTCGATAAGGAGTTGGTAAGCGCATTGACTTGAGTTCTCCTCCACCGGTCTTGATGTTGGAACCAATCCACGGAATGGGGGAATAAGAAGATAAGGAAGCAGGATTCATGGGTGGTCCATTCCTCCTGGTGCCTCAATAGGCGGGAAGATAAGGAGCAGGAACATCACTACCTACAGACCCACCTTTTCTGGGCTTCTAACAGCTTCAATGAGAAAGGAAAGAAAGGAATGGATTAGATGGTTGCTCTATTCCCTTTGCCAGTCAGATATATGGGAAGAGAGGCCTCTCAAGTCTCTCCTTCAGTTAGGCTTTTTCTAAGGATTGTTGCTTTGAATCACCTATTGAGTAATAAGGAACTTAAGCTATGCCCTACTACAAGGAAGTAATTGGAAGAGAGGAGGATTGATGGACATAGGCTGCAGATGGACCAGAATATGCTGTGGGACTTCTGACGTTCGTTCCTCCTTATCTTGCCCGGTAGGTTGTTACAGAAAGAGCCAAACCAAAGCAGGGACTGATTCCACATGGGGAAAGGAAGGAGTAGGGGAAGGAGGTCTAATTAACGGAGTAAAGCAGTATAAGGGCTTAGTGCTCCGATTGCGCCTTAGGACTAGGCAACAATCAAATTCGGTAAATGCCCCTTACTCTTCCAATGAAGGTGGGTAGGGCTTTTCTTTTGTTTAGGATTGGCAAGAGGATGGCTGCCTCGGCCTCAAAGCTGTTAGAGAATGCGCTCTTATCAATACAGGGACGCGAGAGGAATTCCTCGAAGGTAGTACTAAAGGGATGGGGCATTACCGGTGTTAGCGACGGAGGGATTGTTTGCAAGAGAAGGTTGCCCAGTTAAGATACGAACAGGAGGCATGCCACGCATAGTATAAAAAAGGGCAGAGAAGAGGATTGATGGACAGAGGGAAGTGACATATATTATATAGATGCCCCGGAAGAGCAGGAGGAATCGGCTGCTTGAGAATCAACTGCTGGTGGAAGGTTTGAAGGAAGAATGCAAGGATATTTAACCCTAAGGTAACTATCATCTCAGATTCGAAGAGGGGAAGGGCCATTTTGCCTATTTCAACAGAATCCGATTCGAGAGCAACTGTCCAATCTCGCTCGGGTAAATGAATGATGGGCTCTTAGTGGGCAATCCCCTGTTCTCTTTGCTGTTGCTTGAGAATCCGCAGAAGGGCTTAGACGAGACCTAGCATCTCTCAGCTCAGATTCGGCATATCCGGTCTTAGCAGCAAATCCTTCCTCCGAAGATGGACAGCATCCGCTCTTTGACACCCGTAATGGGCATGGTATCCCATAGTCAAAGCAGAGAGAAAGAGAAGAGTTAGAACAAGAAGGATTAGTTAGCACTACCCCAGATCCATATGCATAGTCAAATAAGAGGGTAGACAGAGGTGCAACCTTATTGCTTAAGCATCCGATTTCCTCCTCATGGACAAAATCGGATGCTTAAGCCAATAAGGTTGCACCTCTGTCTACCCTCTTATTTGACTATGCATATGGATCTGGGGTAGTGCTAACTAATCCTTCTTGTTCTAACTCTTCTCTTTCTCTCTGCTTTGACTATGGGGATACCATGCCCATTACGGGTGTCAAAGAGCGGATGCTGTCCATCTTCGGAGGAAGGATTTGCTGCTAAGACCGGATATGCCGAATCTGAGCTGAGAGATGCTAGGTCTCGTCTAAGCCCTTCTGCGGATTCTCAAGCAACAGCAAAGAGAACAGGGGATTGCCCACTAAGAGCCCATCATTCATTTACCCGAGCGAGATTGGACAGTTGCTCTCGAATCGGATTCTGTTGAAATAGGCAAAATGGCCCTTCCCCTCTTCGAATCTGAGATGATAGTTACCTTAGGGTTAAATATCCTTGCATTCTTCCTTCAAACCTTCCACCAGCAGTTGATTCTCAAGCAGCCGATTCCTCCTGCTCTTCCGGGGCATCTATATAATATATGTCACTTCCCTCTGTCCATCAATCCTCTTCTCTGCCCTTTTTTATACTATGCGTGGCATGCCTCCTGTTCGTATCTTAACTGGGCAACCTTCTCTTGCAAACAATCCCTCCGTCGCTAACACCGGTAATGCCCCATCCCTTTAGTACTACCTTCGAGGAATTCCTCTCGCGTCCCTGTATTGATAAGAGCGCATTCTCTAACAGCTTTGAGGCCGAGGCAGCCATCCTCTTGCCAATCCTAAACAAAAGAAAAGCCCTACCCACCTTCATTGGAAGAGTAAGGGGCATTTACCGAATTTGATTGTTGCCTAGTCCTAAGGCGCAATCGGAGCACTAAGCCCTTATACTGCTTTACTCCGTTAATTAGACCTCCTTCCCCTACTCCTTCCTTTCCCCATGTGGAATCAGTCCCTGCTTTGGTTTGGCTCTTTCTGTAACAACCTACCGGGCAAGATAAGGAGGAACGAACGTCAGAAGTCCCACAGCATATTCTGGTCCATCTGCAGCCTATGTCCATCAATCCTCCTCTCTTCCAATTACTTCCTTGTAGTAGGGCATAGCTTAAGTTCCTTATTACTCAATAGGTGATTCAAAGCAACAATCCTTAGAAAAAGCCTAACTGAAGGAGAGACTTGAGAGGCCTCTCTTCCCATATATCTGACTGGCAAAGGGAATAGAGCAACCATCTAATCCATTCCTTTCTTTCCTTTCTCATTGAAGCTGTTAGAAGCCCAGAAAAGGTGGGTCTGTAGGTAGTGATGTTCCTGCTCCTTATCTTCCCGCCTATTGAGGCACCAGGAGGAATGGACCACCCATGAATCCTGCTTCCTTATCTTCTTATTCCCCCATTCCGTGGATTGGTTCCAACATCAAGACCGGTGGAGGAGAACTCAAGTCAATGCGCTTACCAACTCCTTATCGACCTTAGAATCTCTTATCTGGACAGGATAAGAGCAAATGAACCTCCCCTCCCTATTGTCTATTCCTACTCCTGGCTCACCGCCGGTGGGCATTAACTAGACCTGTTCTCATGGCTATCTATTGGTGCTCTCGGCATAGGAAGTATCGCCGGTTGATCCAGCATTCTCTAGCTTCCATTTCAGTTCCATAGCCATAGCCTTGTGTAGTTCCAGCTGATCCAGTCGATTCATAAGTTTCAAGTCCTCGGTCGATACCCACCAAGCCAGCAGCATACCTTTCAGACCAAAAGTGACCCCTACTAGATGCGGCAAACAACGGCTTCAAGCATAAAAACGTCATAAAGACTGATTTCCTAACACCCACAGGGTACGACGCATCAGAACGATGGTAACATAAGTTCGAGTAACAACTAAATAAACATTCCGATGTCGGCCAAGAACACACGACCGCACACAGAAGCTTAGGTCCCTTCCGATGGGATGATAAACACTGACAAAGAAAGGTGCTTCACACGAACGGGCACGGCTGAAGGATTCAAAAGGCAACGTCGAAACGCCTATTTCTCTATGCTGGACCCAACTCTTTATGCGGGGCCCCTTCCTTAGTTAGCTGGGCCCGTAGCCGTGGACACATTAAGGGGACCTCACCAAAAAGGACCTCACAGAAAGAGCATGTCTGCTTTTTCAACCTAGGAATGAAAGGTCTAAACTAAACTAAACTAAACTAAACTAAACTAAACTAAACTAAACTAAACTAAACTAAACTAAACTAAACTAAACTAAACTAAACTAAACTAAACTAAACTAAACTAAACTAAACTAAACTAAACTAAACTAAACTAAACTAAACTAAACTAAACTAAACTAAACTAAACTAAACTAAACTAAACTAAACTAAACTAATAGGCGGGGCGCTAACTCGAATGCTTACGAGAATGCTGCTGGTGAATCTGCACCCGCTGGAACTTAGTCAGATGGATCCGGAACTGGACGAACCAGAACTTCCTCATATATAACTCAATCTCCTGCCTTCGCCTCCGATGCTACCTCGACTCCTGCTTCCACTTCCTTCCCCTCTTCTTCAACCCTTGCTTTTGTAACATTGGCTGCTTGGTCTAATTGGCTGGTATACCCTCCCTCCTTTCTAGATCTGTAGTTGTCTGAGGAAAAGAAAGGGCCGTAGAGGCCAACATGTCTAAAGCAAAATGCGAGTTGTGGGGGTCAGACGGCTCGAATAGTACAAGTGTCTAAACGTGCCAAAAACGGCTTTCTTTTTGATAAGCAATCAAAGGGATGCGCCTTAGAAGGGAAGGGTATGGCACTCGCCCGTGCAAAGACGGCTCTGCGAGTCAGCCAAAATCAAGGCGTATAGCCCCGTCCAAATGAGCACAAAGGCAACAAGCGTATCTTTCCTTTGTTCTTGTGGATTGTAGCTAGGGGACGAGCTTAGGAAGGATAGAAAGGAGAGTAACCTTTCGGGGAGTATAGATCGAGCGTAGCGAGTTAGTTGATCTTGTTGTTTAATATAAAGTTCTATCTCCTTAGCCACTATCTCGCTAGTTAGCATCTCTCCCTTTTCCTATTCGACGTTCCGGAGCCGGTTAGAAAGCCAGAATAAGGAGTTTGAGCAGTGAAGGCAGCAGCAGGAAAGGTAGGAACAAAGGGGAAAGTACTCCGCCTAGCATTCCTTCCATCTTGAGAATAAATAATAGCCTGTTTAAGCTCTACCCACAGTTCCAAAGTCAGGTTATGATGCCAGTAAGCTTGTTGACAGCTAAGGTAGCGGATCTCATTGCAAAGCTATCAGCATCTCTATCTCTATATAAAGCATGAGCAGCTCCAGGACGAGATCGATATTCTTACTTTCCAGATTGAAAGCCAGCCTTGAGGGAACAACAAATTCCTCAACCCATCACGTTCTCTGAGTATCTCCCGAAGGAGTGGTTCAAGCAGGCTGACTCCGAGGAAGAGCCTGAAATACTGTCATGCAATACCATCACAGTAAATATCGACTTCGAGTCAGCTCGGGCAAATGTGACGCAAAGCCCCCTAGACAGCGAAAAGGCCATGATTCGGGCGGCCAGAATCGATAACCAGCATGCCCAGGTCACCATCGCACTAAGAGGAATAAATGTGCCAGCAGATCTTTTTGTCCCGGAAAAGAATCTGCTGAGACACCCGTATCCGGCTTGGGTCGACAGAGTTCCATTCCCCCGGGGATATTCAATTCCGCACTTTGATAGATACCCAGGCGTGGTGGGATGTCCAAGAAGACATCTGGTACTCTTCCTGGCCCGATGCGGCACCACCATCCGAAGCCAATCCTTGTTGTTGAGGCAGTTCCCATTATCCCTCAGGGAAGATGCATTGGATTGGTATTTCAATCTCCCTTCCCGATCCATATCAAGCTGGGACGTGCTCGCTAACAAGTTTTTTCGAGCCTTCTACGCATCCGGGGCAATACATATTGACATGCGAGAGTGGGAGGAATACGAAAATGAAACTGTCGAAGACTATGACCTTTTCGAAGGGGAGTCCGATCAGATATTGGAATTGGCCCTTGACCAAAGAGAAATGGGCGGTTTCAGACCGGTGCACATACACCCTCCAGAGGTATACGACAGTCCGTTCCCTGAGGGGTATCAACTACCAAGGTTCGTCCAATACAGAGGCTTTGGTGATCCGCGGGAACACATAAGAAGGTTCCTCCGACAATGTGGACCTACGGCAGGCAATTCTGCATTATGCCTTAGGCAATTTCCACTCTCCCTCGAAGGGGATCGCCTTTGATTGGTACTGTTCATTAGGCGACCATTTCATAGAAGATTGGGAAGTGATGAGGGTTCTATTCCTTGAGGAGCAAGAATCTCCCATCTTTCTGGGAGAGAATGCACCCCCGGTTTTCCTGCCTCTTCTTCGTCAGATTCTTACTTCGAACCCTCGCCATCTGGTAACTGCCTTCCTTCTTAACAGTTTACATATTAGGTTTTATTGTAGCATATACTTATATTTTGCTGACTCCTGTTAATTTTGTAGGAGATTTGCCGGGCTCTGGGGAGGCTTCGCTTTCCTATCCGGGGCTTTGGAGACTGAAGTTGCTGTAACAGAGGCTTTAGTCCCGGCTCTGGTAGAAGCAGCAATCAAAGTAGCACCAAACCTCTTCCCATCCTTTTCGGAAGGTGAATATATAATCACGTCTTTGCTGGTATTTCGTGATTTAGGATTCACACTTGTCTCTTTGTTTCGACAGAAATGTAAACCCTTGTGTCGGAACCCGATACAAGTGGTACTGCGGACGAGGCTCCGGCTAGCCCAGGGTCTTCTGAACCCTTAAGTCCTTTAAGCATTGCTCCTCTGAGCATGATTCTGCCTATAGCCGGTTCTTCTGTTTCGGTATCCAGCCCTGCTCCGGTGGAGGACTTTTCCCTTCCTGTTTCAGGATTGCCCGAGGCTTCGGCAACTCCATTATCCTCGGAGTTGTTTTTACCAATGCCGTTACCCGACTTTTGTAAGTGTATTAGTTGGCCATCTTACTTTATTTCATTTGAAGGATTCCTCGCTTGAATCTAATATTAGATGCTGCCTTCCTAGCAGAGTCAGCCTTCCCTCTAGCAGTAGCACTCTAGCATGAACAAGCCTTATTTTATTCGCAAGGAAGTATCTGCAAGTGAAAGGAAGGCGAAGGTTGCCAGATATCTTTATATCTGGATCTGAGAAGGAATCCAATTGTTTTGTTAAATTACAACTCAAAGGGCCAGTTATCTCTTAATAGCATCAACGGGAGCAGCAGTAGCAGTTAACGGTAAGCTATAGGGGAGGTGAGGCTAGAAGAAAGGAGCAATCCGTCTCAAACTAATCAAAAAGGAAAGGGTAGGCCAGCGCATAGCAAGCATCTGTAGCAGGCGGATAGGGTCTTCGGACTGCAGTTCAAAGGATTTGCTTGAAAGCCAGTCTTCTTGATCGCTTCCTTCTGCCAATGCAAGTTGACTAATAATAAATCGAAGTGAAAGGGGGTAGTAAGGATGGGACCTTCAATGCCAAGAACAGACCAAAAAACGTCAAAACTTGGCCGTCGGATAGAATCTATTTCCTCAATAGCCAAGGTTAGAAGTTGAGGTTGGTCGTAGATCAGGTCAACCAAGAGGTTTTGGTCTCCTTCCTAGGGTCAGAGAAAGCAAATGCTTTTAGTAGGTGTTCAGTAGGGTCAAGGAAGCTCTAAGGCTAGCTAGCACAATTATTTATCTAAGGAAGACTCTGATCGGAAGTGGGCTCAAAAGCCATGTTCATTAGTTAAAAATCGTAGTTCTTGCTACCACTCGGGTGATTGGACCTGAAAGCCTGTCAAATGGATCTCTTCTTAGAGAGATGTGGGCATCTAATCTATCTTGCCTTGACAGCATGAACTTCATGTTTCAGAACATCGGGGAAGGTGCTTGGCTGATGATGAGAGAGAGCGAAGCGCTTGCCTGTCTATGGTTCTATAGAAGAGAGGAGAGATGGTGGTTATTATTTCCCCTAATCACTTGATCTTGCTTTTGCATTGAAAATGACGGCGAAAAAGACTTCGATTCTCTTCCTTGAGGAGTTGCTTGCTTCTAGTACTGCTGAGTAAGTCACTCTCTGCAAGCTGGTGCCTAGTAGCCCATCCCTTGTTAGAAGCTCCTCTGCTTTACGTTTAGCTGCCCTGACTTAGCACCAATAGGAAAAGAAAACCACACTAAACTATAACTAGGTAACTGAAACTCCCAGCAGCGGAAACTCAAGCGGGAACTAGACTTGCCATATCATCAGAGGATAGACGCTTCTTTCCCTTCGCTTGCCTGGCTTCATTCCCCTTTGCTCTAGCTCTGTGGTAAAGTGCTCTCACCCGGAGGGAAGACCAACTAAATAAGATTCTGACCCGCCAGACGCAAGAAAGACCAACGCACAAGCAGCTCTTTCTCCCTTTGCCCTATACCTCACATCCCGCATCGAAAGACCTATCAACTAGAGCTCCTAACTCGCCTATGACCAGGTTGGATTTTCCTCCTAATTCTTCACTCTGGGAACTCCTCTTGATTGACCGAGAAAAGAAAAACAGAGTAGTTGAACATCGGGAACTAGTGGCCCTAATAATAGGGTCTCAGTACAGGATGAAAAGAAGTTCTCAAAAGCTTGGGCTTTCTAGCAGTAGTTTGATTGCTCTCTTCTCACATAGCCTTGGCTACCCTCAAGGCACAGCATATAGAGTCAGAGGACATAGCTTAGGACACAAGGAAACCTAGCTACTTAGCTTCTCTGCTTAACTCTTTTCTCCTCTCTATTCTATTCTATTCTATTCTATTCTATTCTATTCTATTCTATTCTATTCTATTCTATTCTATTCTATTCTATTCTATTCTATTCTATTCTATTCTATTCTATTCTATTCTATTCTATTCTATTCTATTCTATTCTATTCTATTCTATTCTATTCTATTCTATTCTATTCTATTCTATTCTATTCTATTCTATAAGGATAGCCCTGGAAATAACCTTGAATTAGATAGAAAGAACCACCCTGACCATTGCCTGAACTCTCCTACGCTCCTACTATAGCTATAATTGGCTTTTCGAGGGAAGTGGAAAATCCAATATCTAGTAGTTCAGCTCCGTCTCACTCAGGTCAGGGGTACGGAAACCATAGATTAGAAAAGGTAGGACGTAGGCATGCCTCTACAAGCCATAGATCGAGCCAAAGTGTGTAAGATCGGATCAACCCATTGAAGAAGATCGGATCCAGCCAAAGTGTGTCAACCATTCGTCTCAGCATTACCTTCTCACCCAGGCATTCAGAGCAAGCAACCGGAAATCTACTAAAGAGTAGCAAACCAGTAGCGGTTTCAAGCGGGGATTCTTATGCCGGGTTGTTCAGTAGCTTTCGAAGCCAAAGACAAAGACAGAGAGTCGAGACATAAAATGAAGAAAGATTCTATTGTGGGGAAGCAACTTCTACTCAAGCACGGGGGAAGACATCATCCGAAGAGCGGGG